ATGCGAATAAATTGTCGAGCGTCGGCCATTTGAACTCTTCCATTAGCTCGCGCGCGCGATTCCGTCCGCGCCGCGTTCCCAATCTCGTTTCTCCTTCGAGGAGCGTCGCCTTTGATCGGCCCTCTTCAGGTGTGACGCGACTTCGAGCCGGTCTGGGTGTGGAACAGCAGAGCAAATAAAATAGATAAACGCGGTTTCGTAATTGCCTAGGAAATCGGTTGGACTCGGCGAGACTGCTCTCGGGATTAATTTCCCTTCTCGTTCTTCGGTTTCCTCTCTGAACAACGATACGGTCCAGGACAGAGTTGACAAGTTTCATGCACGATCATGCGTCACTCGTGTTATTCTCCCTGACCCTGTGTACTCGCCAGATGCAGCGCTGTCGTCCGAGATACGGTTATCTCTTTAATTTCAGTCGATAGGCTAGACCGCAAAAAAGTCGCTGCAACATTTTTCTCTTTAACAAACCAATGACGGGATGCCGCGGTATCGTCTGTTTACAATTCGCTCCCCGTACCTTCGGTACGATTTATCTCCGATCCGTCACGAGGATTCGACGCGGGCAACCTTGTACTTGATTAGCTCCGCTCCTCCTTGCGCGCTCCTCGGCCGACTCTCCTATCAGCCTTCGCGCAGACTGAAATCTCGAAAGAGGAAACCTATATCATATGTTACGATAATCGAAAACGACACACCGCCGTGCACACAAAGGGGATTATCGGTGTCAACGAGTTATTATTAACCGTGCATCGATCGGCAGCTGCCGCGCAGCCACCGGTACCAGGTTAATCCTCCCACAGTTCCGTCGCTTTCCAAATGAACGGTAGCTAATCGCCGGGAGTGCGGGTCGGGTGGCGTGATTCGTCGAGCCTTCCTTAAAAGAAGGAAAAAGATCGAAAGAAACGACCGGCGAAGGCGGTGGGTCGAGAAACAAGTGTTTCGGCCGCGCAGACGGACGGGCCAGATGCGCCGCTCCTCTAATTTGCCGATGAACCGATTCGTTCCGAGAAAACCCAATGCGCAAGGTCGTCTGTCGTTCCGTGGACACGGAGGAAGACGCGTCGAGCGGCGACCGACCCGAGGACCATCGGGAATCATCGTCGCGGATGATGGCGAACTCCAGTGACTCACCCCCTTCGCTCCCGGCTCCTCGTCCCTGACTAGATACCGGCACAGAACGATAGCGGCGAGCGTACCGACGCGATAAGACGGTGTACAATGCTGGTGTCGTTATCGGAGCGAGCACAGTCAAGGACTCGAGCGACGGAGAGCGAGCGAGCGAGCCGGCGAGCCGCGCGATAGAGAACGAAAACGAAAGTCCGTCGCTCGTGCTCTCCTCGGGTCCGGCATCATCGATGCTGTCATCGCGCGGATATAGCCACGTGGACAGCTTCGTCAAGTGCAAGGTCAACCGGTGAAATACGCCCGAACTTGATTCAACTTCACGGGCCCGCTGCCCCCACCCCGCAGCCCCGTTAGCTACCTCGCCGGGCTGGGCTGGGCTGGGCTGGGCTCGCGTCCCGAGCGACGCCGTCTCGCGTTTTCGAAATTCGCCGGTCACGTCTCGCTTCTCGGGAATACGATAACCTCGCCCGATTCC